TACTTCATTTCTACTAAACACACCATTCAATATTAATTAACATCAAATGCAATAATTAAATGAATAGACATTCGGGTGGATATTCCACTCAACATTTTCCCAACCGCTAAAATGTCCCTGCTATTGATGGTGGGTGTTTTTTCTTCCAAATGACTTTGATTGTGTCGTCTGTTGTAAATAAAACCAAAAACGAAGTAAAATTTGTTCGTGTCGTACACTTGGATGGAAATTCCCTAGAGTGCAAAAAGCGTGTGTCTATAATAATACTTTCTCAAATACTAATTCAATGTTGAATGTCTTCATTCCTAATTCGCATATGTGTGATAATAAGTTCCTCACCTAGTTTGCAAAGCGATTTGCAACTCTCATCTCTGGTCAGAAGATAACATCGTTGTGCCACCCTTATGGGAAAACCCACTTCCCTTTACCGGAGTGCACGATAGACTTACCTCCACGTGGTGCTCCCTGGGCAACGTATACTCACACGGCAAAAAAGTCTACAAACCGGCAGTTGACTTCTGATTTCAAACTACCATGACCCCACTCTATGTCATATTTCACCACTTCAATAGTATTTGTCTTACCTTTTCTCTGCCTTTGTGTCTGTCTGCCTCTTTTTTACATCTGTGAAGCACTTTTCTTTTCCCCCTCTCGACATTTTGCCACTTTGATGTTCCTCCTCCTCCTCTCTGTGAAGCCCGAAGTTTGATGATAACTATCAAAACGCCTCCCTTTTAGTATAAATATTGATGTTCCTCCTCTCTGTGAAGCCCGAAGTCAGCTAAAGGGCTAATAATAATTATCAAAGCGCCTGCCATTTGAGATAAATAAATAAATAAACTTCCCTTTTCCTATTACTAGCCATATTTAACCTATTTTGTTGGATGCTGTGGATGCACCGATGAACATTCAACCCCATGGATCTCTAAATTTGCTGTCGGCAACTTTAACCACAGTACGAATATTCTACATATGCAATACAGGACTTATTGATACCCCTAATGCTTTTCTAAGACCGAATTATATTTATAGAGAATCCGCCAAAGTGTGCATAAAGAAATGGTCATTTATCGTTAATCCATTTAAAGCTCGAAAATAAGGAAGAAATTTGTTGATTTTTTTCTGGAAAACAAGCCTAAAATATCTCTATTTTAATAACGCGAATTTTGTTGTTTCAATCTGTCCAACTATAATCTCAATGTGGTGTTACACTTTGGGCATATTTGCCTAACCTGTTGGATTGATAATCGTGTGCATTTATTTAAATTTTTGTGGTCCATTTTCCTACCAAGAAATGCACACATCTGGAAAGTCATGATTTTAAAATTTGTTAAACGGTCTTTAGTAGACCACGCAGTTACTTACACTAATTTTTTTAAATTAAATTTCCTTGTTATCGGTTATTTCGTTTTTTGGAATCAGGTCTTTATAATTTTTTTTATTATCACCCTAGCCAAATCATTTGGTGAGGCAAACATTTTATCGTCTCGTGAGCTGTTCGCTGTCATCTCGGGTAATTAAACATTGGACTCCATGACTCCAGTGCCCCGTTCAGGCGTGTAGATATGAAAATGAAAATGGTATTTGACAATAGCTGACAGTCTGTGTTTTGACTTAAGCATAGGTTATTTGTGATAAGTAGAATATTAGATAAAAACCTGATTGTATGGAAGTCATATAGCTGCAATCCGATGAGTTAAAATAGCCAATCAAAACCATGGACGAATGTAAAATTTCATCCACTCCAACCTTCATTACAAGACATTGGGGATAAAAAATACTAATGTACGGTTGTCCGGAAGGACCTTTCTTATGAAGCATGATCGAGCGTGTACTCGGATCCATTACAATACGAGATTCAAAGGGTTAAGCAATTTTTGTCTCAGACAGTCAACTAGCACTGAGATTTATTTCATCTACTTAATGCGACACCTACTATGATCCATTAAGGATGTTATCACTTAGAAATCGAAGTTAGACTAAGGTGGAACTTTGCTCGACAGTGGGAATAAATCTGTCAGCAAGCAGATCATCTTAGGAAAAGTGCAGTGGGCCTCAAGAATCTGGCAGCCGAAATTTACTCAGCAACCTACTTATGTTATTTAAGAAGGACGGAGTGATGGTTGCCTATCCATTTTCCTACTTTGTTGGAATTAATTAAGCATTACAACATTCTAATTAGACTAGGTCTGTCAAAGCAAATACTATAACCAAATTTCATAACACTTTCCAACTCTGTAAGACCCATAACCATTTCTCACGTTAGGAGTTTTGAACTATTTATGACATGATAAATTACCTCTCGCTTGACTTATTGTGCGCATTTTCCGGGCAGCCAGATTTCTCCCAGATTTTCCACATAGAAGCGTTTTACAGCAACTACTGGGAACTTTGTCTGTGCCAGTTTATGTTATGGTTCAGCCATAAAGGCATCAATCAGAAGTCTTCAAACGGGAGCAAATCTGAAATTGCTTAGTCCAGACCGGCAACTTGGAGACGAGAGTGTATAGTGTGGAATGCGCCACATCCAAGGCCCTAAATTGGATTTGAAAGACAGAATTTGCTAACTGATTAGGGCTGCATTCCTAAACCCTCTCTAATGCATTAAAGCTATCTGTCTACTTTTCTTGCATTAGAATTAACTTTACCCTTCGAAATTAGTGAAACAGTAAGCAAGATATTGTGGAGATCACAGTTTGATGAGGAGCCTTGAATTTGAAAGAAGACATGCAAGCATTCAAGTAATAGCCCATTCATGTGTGAGAACTTTTCACAGTTATTTCATATTTTACCTCAGATAAATGTAAAACATTAAGAGCTTTTCATTGTATTAAAGCGACTGAGATCACTCCACCCTAATTCCAATGAATGTTAATGGGGAGGCGATCAAACAGATGCTTAAAATATAATCAAGATGGAAATAATTCGTGTAATTGGATTTTGCAGTACGTACTTTAGGGATAATTCATGTCCCAAAAGTGGAAATTTGTGACTCATTTCATGATTTGGATAAACAGTAACTTTTCGTCCGTGATATTCCTTGCTAATTGGCAGGCCGGTTTCATTCAGTCAAGAATTGAGAACGCTGAAGGTCCTTACGAGATAGTAAGCACCTAACATGATCTTAGCAGAGTAGAGCTGACATAAGAAAAATTTTTTCTTTAGAAAATCACTAAAATGTTCTTGGTTTTTATCTACTGGGGAGGGGGGGGGAGGGGGAGGGGGATTACGCTTTACCAAAGGAGAAAATATCGTGTATTTTGAGCCTCCTTGAATAAGCTCTTAAGATGAAGTCATTTTCGAGGATTTTCGGAGCATAAGCTCATATGATTTCTAATGCATCATGTCGGGCAGTCAGAATTTGATTTTAGCTCATTGCAATGGTCATGTTTTGAGTGCTTTTTCAATATTAGAAAACGCCAAGAGCTTCCATGCCTGATGAAATCGAGAGCATTAGAGAACTCCTTTCGATCTGGAATGTATTCCCTGTAAGCTCGAATACGCTAGCACACTCAGGCGATCTATTGTGTGCAATAGAATTGTACATTTTATTCATTGAATGCGTTTCCACGGGTAACGATTTCATAGTCAGTCAGCAAATTATAGTTTTACCACTACACCCTCAACGTAGAAATGAATGTGATAAATAATCTAAAACAATGCCTATATATATACTGATATTTGTACTGATGAATAGATGCCCAAGTGACCGCCTTAGATGGATGACAATTTTGTCCATTCACTCTGTCTAAATTGACAGGCTGCCAAAATCAGAAGGCATACACACGACTGGCGAAAAAAGAACCATCAGCTAGAAAAGTTTTGCTCGCTTCGAAGTACGACAAATCCGTTCAAGCATCAAGTCATTAGATCCTGATCCTTGCAGCTTCACTAGCAATTCAAATATATTAGAACTTTTTGATCCATCAGATACTGCCCTATGTGGAAAAATTTGATGGATTTCAGCCTGAATGTTGATTTCCAAAGCTGTTTGGAAAGCAAAACAAATGGATGTCCTTTCATTGAGATATAAATCCTTGTGAAGCATGTATGGGGAACGAGGAAAACTACGAAAAAACTTCACACTAACAAAACAATCACTTGCATATTTCGTTTTTTCCTGTAGTGAATCAACCCAAACCTAGCATTCAGTTCGTCTCCTGAGATTCTGTGTCTATAATGACCTGCCTTTAGACAACCTGAGCAAAGGAAACTTAGCATTCTTCACTCATTTCGTTAATGTATGATGATTGGTCGAATGCTAGCAGTCTTTTATCTCCAAAAAACCCAAAGTATTTTAAGTCCTCTATAAATCCACAAGTACTCCGATTCTTCCAGTCTCCACTTTCGTCAGGCAGACGAAATCATGCCTACCACTATCCTGTCTTCTTCCTCGTTACCTTTTTATCGAAGTGACGAAGTTAGGCTAGGAGTGCATCTAAGATAGTAAGCCGCTGAATCTCCTTCCAAAACATTGTTAAAGCTAATATCATTGCGTTAAGGGAGATTAGAAGAGAAGAACCATCAAAGATAAGTAAGGCTGGCGGAAAATCATAACAAACAACGAACTGAGTAAAACAAAAAAGGAAATTTCAAACTTCTATGAAGATATAAAGTGGACAAGGAGTCCAAACACGCTTGTCTAATAACTGCATTACATGCTGAGAAAATATATGGTCGGTAACTAATGCTCCAATTACTGCGCGGCTATTGACAGCTTTTCAAACTATGACGTCTGTAATACAAGTAATCACGGCATAGCTAATCAGTTTGTAAACAACTTTGCCCAAAAACAACCAATAGAAAAAATAGAGCAACAAAATCACAAATACATATATTTTATCAGTAATTACATGTTCGGACGGATAAATTTACACTGAGATAATAGATTAGACTATGGTACCTAGAAAGGGCAGAAAAATTGTCAATTAAACAGGGCTGAAATAAGTAGATAAGGGAACTCAATTAACCCCCTCAAGCAAGCCTAACCAATTGTTTAATCACTCCAATGGATCAAACTTAGGGGAGAGGAAGGGAATCGCAAAGGGCTCCTGGGTCATAGAATTCTTGCGCCGAGCATTCGATATCGGAGTTTTGATTAGGGGAGGAGAAAGGTCACAATCATCAAATCGGTCAGCATCATTCTAAAGCAAATAAAATTGCACAAAATTTTCAACTTACATCATCTTGGTCTTCATTAGACACTAAATCAGCTATCGAGGAGTTATTACTTTGATTCCCATTGGTTATACACATGCTCTTCATTTCCACATCTCCGTTAGAATGATTATTTGCTGGAGGCTCCTCCAAACCGTTCTGTATCTAAAAGTATTACTTAAATGGACTCAAGTAAGCAATTTTACCTTAGAGTTGGCGGGTGATAAAACTTTCAGCAATCGAGGCATGGGCTAAGAAAGCAAAGATGAATGAGAGATGAATAAAGATTTACCCTGACTCTAGAAAGCTTATCAAAAAATCGATAGGTAGCAATCTGGAATTGTGTCATAAACTCGTCGGTTAGTTTGGTATTTCTCTCTTCACAAAACATAGAAGCGAGCTCGGGCAAGGTACAGATACTAAAGAAGAGTTTTAATTGAACTCTCGAATAATTACGTCAGTGCATGCGCCTTATTATCCAAAAGCCAAGTGTAGAAAAGCTCCACTAGTACATCTAAGTCAATTTCCTCCTCATCAGGCATTATTCTGAAACAAGCGGGTAACAAATGTAAAATAAGAAACTGCTACAGTGTGACATTAAAATATTCTAAGATCCGTGCGTAATATTCGGGCAAACAAACTAAGATCAGAATAACCATATTTCAGAACAAACAAGTTAATTTGAACAAGTGAATAGTAAAGGGAAGTAAGCATGCAATTGTAGAAGGGACATAGGGAAGGAAAGACATCTTGGATATACAAAAAGACCTTGCGAACTGGAAAAATATCGAAAAGTAAATAAGAGAAGGATCAGGCGCCTGTATAAAGAGATAGGAAGTAAATGTACAATAAACAGACAGGATAAACGACCAAACTGCAGCGATGTTGAAGGTTCTCCATTGAAAGTAATTTACCGGCACTGTAAGCCGACCAAAGTGTCCCAACAAACTAAAAATAATTTAAATACATGAAATATATATATGTAAATATGGACATCACAGTTAGAAAGAAGAAGCAATAAACTCACAGAAACAAAAAGGCTAAATCCATGGAAGCCTCCGAGATTAAATAGGGAACCAATTGTACAGGTAAGGAAAAGTGGGAGGAGGCAGTATCCAATGACACCAAGACATTGCGCATAAGCAACATCCCCACCCAGTGATCGGGTAATGAAATAAATGATAAAAGATCCCGCCAACCATATCATTAAAATCCAGGCAACAACTCGTAGTTGACCAAAAAGGGAGACTAGAGAAAACAACATAACGACAGCTAGTGGACCCCAAAAGTCAGGATTTTCACGAATGGAAGCGGGATCAAGACCAGAGCGTACACATGGCAAAATTACAGCTCTCATTTTCTTTCCGATTGTTTTAAGATCTATATCTAAGGCCTCCCTAAGAGATTCACAAGTTTAATAAGAATAAAATGACATTACAAAATAGGCTTGTCGAAATCTGCATCTTCCGTTTCAACTTCTAACATCCAGCCGAAGCCACGCCTACGAAGAACACTTTGAACAAGTCCATCAGAACCTTTTGTATAACCGTCGATATTTCCCGTCAAAGAAGAAGTATCTATAGATAAGTCATAAATCAGAAATAAATATTTACATGCATCAGATCCACTTGAAGGAGAAGGATTAACAAAAGATAAATCAATCGTCGTATGAGACGATTCTTTAAATGGAGGAGTTGGCAACATTACTTTAAGAGATCAAGAGACAAAACGCGCACTAATGTCCTCATTTGACCTAAAAAGGCAAAAATAGTACAAAAACGATTAAGATGAAAATTTAAGTAATTTATGCATTAAAGCACTGCTCAAAATATCTTATGAATTGTGAAAGTCTAATAATTTCACGACACAAATTGTATACATGCTATAGGAAATTATACATTGATTCACCAATAATAGAGGGTAACTCATATGCTCGCCAGTATGTTAACAGTCCATTTTGAATATTAAAGAAAAAGCTTCCTAGTAGCAGGAAATTAATTAAAATACATAACAAGAGTATTTGATTTAAAACATAGATGGAAATTAAAGTAATTTGTTTTACTGGAATAAGTTTTAAAATGGACACTCGCCTGCTACTTTAGTTGTGCCTGATTTGCCTTTTGTCCGCCTTCTGCTGTGTCGTTACTTTGCTAATTGGGATTGCAGAGGTCATTATCAACGAAGTAAGACTCGCTCTAATAATTAATTTAAATGCTCATTTCGAATATTTTGCATTAGCTATCGTGCAGAGCATTTGAAACGATTCCTTTCATTCGTCTTTATTTAATTCTTCCATTTATTTATTATTCATTTCTGATTTATTTCACTTCTTTAATTTCCTCAGGAATGTCTTCTCCCTCAGAAGCGGCGACACGAAGACGTGTTAAGCTTTATATGTTAAACGAGGAAAGACAATGGAATGATAAGGGTACTGGCCATGTATCAGCACTGTATAATGATTCCAGCTGCATATGCCTTGTTGTCATCTCAGAAAATGATGGATCTCCTCTCTTAGAGTCAAAAATTCAGCCCGAAACAGCCTATCAAAAGCAGCAAGATACATTGATCGTTTGGTCAGAAGGAGATAATGTGGATTTAGCACTTTCTTTCCAGGAAAAGGCTGGTTGTGATGATATATGGGAGAAGATATGCTCTGTTCAGGGCAAAGATCCTTCCGTTGAGATCACTCAAGAAGTTGTAGAGGAGACAGACGACACTGATGATGTCGAATCCTACTCTCTATCGGCGAACCCTGAACTACAGGATTTTGAACTCCCCGCCTGCGAACTCTCTCGGTTAGAAGAAATTGTAGAGATCTTTAGTTCTCATTTGCATGTACTACAGAAGAGGGAAGGCCTTGTAGCCGCTGTAGATAGTGGAAACTACATCCGTCAGCTCATTGATTTATTCCACAAAGCTGAAGACTTAGAGGACCTAAACTCACTTCATTGCTTGTACGAAATATTTCGACAACTTATTCTCCTCAATAAGCAGGTTCTTTATGAAACTCTTTTTTCTGATGATGTAATAATGGATGTTATCGGCATATTGGAATATAGTCCCAGTGGTCGAACGCGTCATCGCGATTTTTTAAAGAACCAGGCAAATTTCAAGGAAGTCTTGCCATTTTACAATTCTAAACTCATTAACAAAATTCATCAGACCTATCGTGTGCAATATATTCAGGATTGTTGTCTGCCTCCGCCTAGTCTTTTTGATGAACAGTCAATGTCCGATTTGAAAGCTTTCATTGCTACAAATAAAATGGAAATTTTAAGCGCCTTGCAAGAAGACCGTGTTTGTATGATGAGGCTTTTCACCTGTCTACGATCATCGGAAACCTCGGATTCACATCGACGAGAATTGGCTCTATTCGTTAAAGAGTTTTGCAACCTCTCAATTCAGACAGATCGGAAGGAGGCATTTTTGAATACCCTTTCGACACACGGAGCTCTATCAACAGTTGAATTCCTTTTTTCAAATAATGATCGGGAGGTTAAGTCAGCCGCTTTGACAATTCTACAGGCTTTTGTTGAAAATCAACCCTCGATTGTGCGGGACTATGCTTGTAAAGAGAGTAATCGGCAAAACAATGATGATGTTCTCGTAAATTTAATGATTTCGCAGCTCTTAGAAGACCCTGATCCAGAGTTAGGAGATGCTTTTCAGTTAGCATACATGATTCGAATTCTTATTGATCCCGATAGTATGAACAATGGTGCTTCTGTAGGTTGATTTTCTGTTTTGTGTTTTCATTTTGTATGCAATCTAATTTGAGTGTTTTCTTCATAGCGAATAGAAAAGTCTGAATTTCTTGGATTCTTCTATAGGAGGTGCATGGGTACTCTAACCAAGCCCTTGTTTGATCATACTGAAGAAGAAACTGTTGTGGATGATAATTATCATTCCGCTCTCGTACTTAGCAATGTCTTGGATCTCCTCATATTCTGTATCGAAAATCATACTTATCACTTTAAGAATTACTGTCTTCGCCATGAGGTTTTAAAACGAGTTATGGTTTTGTTGAAATCTGAGCACAAGTTTTTGGTTCTGAGTAAGTTGTTTATTGAATACTTTCGATTGAAAATCTTCTAGGCGTTCTGAGGTTGGTGCGGAAGATGATTCAAATGAAAGAGGAGTTCTATAATCGATACCTCTCCAAGAACAAACTTTTTAAACCCATCATTGAGTGTTTTATTGCCAATGGTCATCGTTATAACATGATTGATTCTGCTATTCTTGAGCTGTTTGAGTTTATTTTAATGGAAAATGTCAAGACTATCATTGACCACATTGTTGAGGAGTTTTGGGATGCGTTGAGCGATGTAACCTATGTAACTACCTTCAAGAGATTCAAAGACCGCTATGATGCTACTGAGAGACCACTGAAAGAGGAGGTGAACGCGCTTTTCAAGGAAGGCATCTTGACAAGTAATTCCAACATGTAAGTTATCTCTTCTAGGTATCGTTTACGCATTGACTGCTTATCTTTTATCGCACACTCTCGATTTTCCTTCTAACCTATTGCGATATTATCGGTTTTAATGTTTAACTCCGGGGGGAGGGGGGGGGGGGGCTGTCGAATCGTATCACACCTGGGAAGTAGCTAGAAGGAATAATCATCTGCATCATTGCGTACCATTGACAATCGGATGTTTCTATTTCATCAGCCAGTAGATCAGAGGTAGTTTTGCACTATTTCCTTTAAGTGTACTCTTTGTAAAATACTCAGTTCTTAAATTTCCTATTCTTTATTGTACTACGAATATCCCGAAGTTTATTTCACCTCTGTTTACCTAATCTCTTATCTATTGTTTCTTCGTTAATCCTGTCTAAAAAGAGCGAAAGTTTTTCCCTGCATTGAATATATACTTTATTTTATTCGGCAATAATGTTCGTCGAGCATAAGATTCAACATCAAAATTTCATCCTTCAAACTCCTATCTAGCACCTACATGTAGCAGATATAACCGTTTCTTCGTGTACATTTCTTCCTATTTTGATTATTTATATATTAATATCGCATTGGCTCGTGAATTCTATTCCCATTTCTGTTTACCATCGGGATTATTTTTATTTCACTTAAATTGGGTGTCAGGATTTCGTCAAGACATTTTTCTGCCTTGCTAGTGCCATTTTATTTGTCTTTGGCTGTGAAGTTCCAAATAATCTGTTGAAGTGGGAATAGGAAAAGCTTAAGAGTGCAGGCACTATAAAAAGTGATCCAACTAAAGAGGTATCATTGTGCTTTCATTTTAGACCCTCTTTGAGAGCAACAGTGAACCCTCATTTTGTTTGTGCCCCAGCGTTTGACGAAGAGGAGCAATGGTTCAATCAGGATGATGAGAAGAAGGAAGATACGATGGAGGTGGCTAATGATGCATCGACGATGCCATCCGGAAATTTGTCTTTGGACGAGGGAGGAATCCATTCTCTCCCATTTTCTTCCTCCAGTTCCCCTCCGCCTTCTATTCTTACTACTTCTTGTAAGTAGCCTATATGTGCGCTATAATCCATCAAAGCATTTATTATACCATTTTTCTTCTGGCAACTGTGGAGTAATTTTAGGCATTTTATGGGGTTGTCTTGTAACAAGTGGTTGGTTGAGATTATTATTACTATAGTGGATTTTAAGCCTATTGCACCTGACTAAGCAGATATGGATGTGGTATTTTCGGGAAGATAAGCTGATAGAAGCAAGTTCCTCGTGAAAATTTTTAAACAATGATAAATTTTTCGGTATATCGAGTTTCTTCCGATGAACTTATATTCTAACTTGGGCTTTTCTTTATCTTTATTGTTTTCTAAAGGTTATTGTTTAGAGTTTCTCCTTGAAAATATAGTTTTCCCCTTTTTATCAATTCTTAACGTTTTAGCTTTGATAGGTTCTTAGTTCCTTTACGGATATGCAGTAATAGTAATTTTGTTCTGCTAAAATCACTGTTCATTAAAGTAACTTCTGAGAGTTGAATCACATCGTTCAATCCTGTAGCAGTACTTTGTTCTTGTTTCCTTTGTTTTTTGGATGTTGAAAACTGCCTCTGAACCCTTTTGTTTGGATGCTTTTAGCATGCCCTCCTATACATTCGCATACTCTACCGATTTTACAGAGTGTGCTTTTCAATATAATGTGTCAGAATAGGTACTTAAAACTTCCCTCTTGGTCAGATTTTGATTGAGTCTGTTTGACTTCCCATGTTGACGGATAAAAATTTCCTAAACTAACACTCATCCTAAGCAAAGTAGTAGCCTTCTGTTGACACTACTGATCATTTTAATATGTATCGGTGGAGCCCTTGATCTACTTGATTTATCATAAGTACATATTAATCCCATAGGGCCTTTTTGCCTACTCGGGGCATTAATTTTGCAGGTGGCTTGAGTGGAATAGTATTTTAATAGGGAGAACTTACACTCTGATGAAATACCAATGTAAAAGTAAGTAGCAGGTGGGAGAAGCAAATAGGAACTCTGACCAGCTTATTCACATTTCTAGTCGTTACCCGCAGGACCTTGGTTGGTGATTAGCTTTTCCGTGTCAAATGGTCACACAAGGCAGAACATTATTTGATGACTGCATACTAGCCACTGATTGGTTGGTGAGATTATAAGCATAGACAGGTCTTGTTCATCGTGCCAACCTCCATTTAGGCCATTTGAAATTTCATCTGGTAATACGTCATTTTGACAAAACAGTTGCCAACTTGTAGGCTTTTATCTCATCCTCATAGCTGATTGCTTTAGGCGCATTTGATTTTACCTTTTCTTTAAATAATAGCAACTGCGCAGTCGCCTTTGAACTCATCCTTCACTCTTCTGTTACCCCCATCGAATACAGCAAAGGACGATGATGATGAGCTCTCTCCACATCTACTCAACCGTCGTGTCAGCCATCCCCCCTTCCCTCCCATTACCATTAATATTAAATCCATGAATCTCGGTCAAGTGAAAAAGGATGGTGAAAAGGAAGAAAACCAAGAAGGCGAGGGTTCTGTACCTACTCCGAGAAATTCTCTGAAAAGATCTCCTACTGATGTGATTGAGGAGGACGTGATGATGAGTAGACATTCCAAACAAATGCTGCTAGACACTGAACAGGCCGAAAACAGTAGCTGCCGCAATATTGGGGGCAAAACTTCGGTAATATTCAAAAGTATTTTTAATTCTTGGTAGTCTAAATTTCATAATTAAAATAATTGGGTCTTTGAGTGATTTGTCCTTTACTTAAGGTTGGTCGGGTTTCGTGACATCTTTAATAGCAACTACAATACACTTATCTTATTGTCGTAGATAGCTGTAACTGTCCTCGGGCATTTCTATGTGCTAGTGATCTCTTGGGAAGGAGTTTGACGTTATTTTTGTCCCTTTTTAGGATGCTGATGATATGAAGAGTGCCGGTAATAATAACGGCAGTCATCCGGTTGTTGGCTTAGTGGATTATTCCGACGAAGAGAGTGATGAGGAGGAGCAGGATCAAGAAATCGACAAGAAGTCTTCTTACTCCTCTTCACCTCTACCTCCCCCTACTAGAGATTCGCGAGACGAAGCTGGAATAGAGGAGAAAAGCTCTGATCCGATACCCTGAACAAAGATTGAATAGTCCCCCCCCCCCTCCCTTCTCTTATCACGCCTCCTCTTTTTTTTCCTTCTTTTTTTGTATATATACAAACTCCTGTGTACATGTGCTTTTATCAGCCCATGCGATTTCTCCTCTTTGTTTCTCAACCTCCTTTGGTGCCCTTCCAGTCTCCTATGTAATTGGCAGCCCCTTTTTAAAGGTTCTTTGTGTGCTTGTATGCGAGAATGGTGAGGCCCCTCATATATGTTCCCCCCTTTCCAACTCATGACTGTTCTAATTTCTCACACATGCCCTCTTTTCACACCTCCTTTATATTGGAAGTTATTCGTACTGCGAGTTTATAAAAGTTAAGATTTGATTATGCGAGGTGTTTGCGCGTGATGTGGATTTAAGTCAACTGGTGTGGTGCTTACTTGCTTTATAGTGCCATTAATTCTCACTGATAGAATTACTTCTGGTCTGACGGGGTTAGTTTTTGAAGAAATTCGTATGGAACTGCTAATTTTCTTGGAGGCTGGTAGAGCCGCTTTCGTGATCGAAGGGCAAAAACTGATTCAGGCCACTGAGGTTTTATATAGTCGCAAGGGAAGGAGTGTTGACAATAGTGAATACACTAAACTGGCACTGTGCTCTCTCGAGTAGTAAGTGGGGCGTGCAGCTGACGAAGTGCTGGAAGTTTTGTGCTCTTCGAAAACTCGCCATGGGAAGTGCAGCAACATCCTTATTCGCACAAATGTCAGGTAATTTAACCATTTTTGGGGTTGACAGTGGAAGCTAATCCGATCAAGTATATATTTTTGGTTAGACCGAAGATTAAACAGACTAGCTGATAGACCTAAATGTTTAAGTGTTCTTTGAGATAATCTTTCATTGGTAGTCTGCGATTCCTTAGTGGTTTAGAAACAATATATCTATTATGATAGTCACTTTCTTACTACAAGCTGGATTTTTTAATCGTAGGAAGGCTTCTTAACATGGAAAAGTGTGGCCTGGAAGTGTGTCCGGCAGAAATAGGTGATCAAGTGCCGAAGACTTCTTAGTAGTTATGCTCAGTTTTGTCAGGAAGTATGTTCTTTCAGTGTTTGGCCTGTAAGAAATGGCGATTTTTATGGTTAGGAAACTAATAGAATAATAAGTGCGAACCTTCTTTTAGCATAGCAGGCCTAACTAGAGTCCGTTCTATTTGAAAAGTTGAAGATAAAATTGCAATGTACTTCTTAAATTACAAGTACCTATTTGTCAATTCTAGAAGAATTCAATAGGTACTTAAGGTTTCATAGCAGATTTTGTGGGACCGAAACCCATCGGTTAATATCTCTTTAAGTAATTGGAAAGAGTACTCGAATGGAATTTTTCCAGCAATGATACTTTCTGTCCTATTAAGCTGAGTAAACGAAATACGTTTGCCTTCTCTTTGAATTTTGGATAATGGGGTTGGTAACCATATGGTGATTGGAATGGCCACAGTATGGTGCTATGAAGAGGTCTCAATTGCATTGATCCTACTGCTATCTAATGGAACTTCAAAATAAGACATAAGTGCTTCCATCAACTAGCACAAGTAGCGTGTGCTCGTGCATACACTTTCAGAAGGCAGGTTAAATTGATTTGTGCTTTCTGGGCCCAGTGTCTGAGGTAAGGCGGCAACCCCTTTTCCATCAGTCGATAGAATGAAGGCACTTTCGTTTGTTAAAAATATTATTATTTCAAATGGCAGGCTTTATGATATTTATCACTAGCCCTTAAACTTTGACTCCAGCTTTTCCCATGGGAGGGGGGGGGTACATATATAACAGTTCATCAGCTGTCTTCTTGCTTCCCAGTATCTCGGGGTTTCAGTCGTTACCTTTAAGGCTGGACACCGAATCAGGTGGGTCTTCTCCATTTCCTCCTGCAGGTTACATAGGGGGCATGTGGGTTGAGTGTATACTCCCAATCTGTGAAGATGTTTTGCCAAGCAATCGTGTCCGGTACGTAGTCTAAACACAGCAACGGCTTCGATTCTTGGCCAGTCGGCTATGTCGGAGAGTGCCACTGTCCAGTTTCTTCTTTATTCGAGCTTTGAGTTTGTTGCACCTTGAGGTCTTGAATTCTCTCCTGATTAAGGCCTTCATTGTGTGAAAAGACATAGGGCGGTCCATGCATTGCATAATCGTCGTCCCCTTCTTAACAAGTGCGTCAGCAAGCTCATTGCCTTTAATGCCACAGTGACCAGGAATCCATTGTAGGACCACTGTTTTGTTTTTCTCTCCCAGCAGCTCATAGCGTTTTACCACTGTTTTGTTTTTCTCTCTTAACAGCTGATAGAGTTTTTTGCATTCGTGTATCTAAGCTGTTTTGGGTGGCTCTCTGCTTCCAATTGAGTTTATTTCTGACTGTGAGTCCGAAAGTATCACCACTTTGGTGAATTTCGTATCCAGGCAACATAATTGGCATAGTGCTATCCTAATGGCCCCTATTTCTCCTTCGAAAGCGGATCTAGTGTGTCCCGCTGCTATTAAAAATATTAATCGTATTCTATTCCTCAAAGCAAATACCAACAAAACTGAACTCAATAAAATTGTTTCATTCAGCAGATCGTGCTTGCCTTAGCTAGTTTATTAAGTGAAATAGCTGTGGAAATAACTCTAACTTTCAATGATGTTCAATTACTTCATCCTTTCATAATTTTAATTGGTGCTATGTAATGTAGTGGATAGTACACCCAGTTTCTCCAATAAGTAGTGTGCTTGAATCATAATCGCTATACTCGTGTTCCCATTTAAACGGCACTTTTGTGTATCTGGTGACGCGATGACCAACCACACTGATTAATCTTGATCTGAACGAGGGATTGATCGACTGTGAGTTCCTCTTAAGAGTGGCTCCTCTCTAGGCTAATCAGGGACTGTTCACGGTTTCTGAAGTAGACTTAAATCTAATTTATGCAATAGATATCATGTCTCTGCAAAAATTACTGAAACATTTGAATGGAGTTCATGTCAAATGATTCAGTGAGTGGCTCGGTTATGATATCCATACTCGATGACCAGAATGACCAATCTATTCGGAGTAAAAATGTCAAGGTAAACTTCGAAATATTTCATTCCACATGCTTCCAAAAGTCCGATCTCATCTCTATATTTTTTCTGCTGAATGTTAGGAAGCCGAATCGGATATTTTCTCTCCCACGCATCAGGAGTGAAATTTTTAGAACAGAACTCGTTCATCCATGTCTATACCTGCGAACGAAGTCTTACCAATATTATGTTACTAACTGAACATCCTTTGAGCTGCAAGTTTTCTGCTTTTATCAAATCGCCGTCCATCGCCTAGATTACCACCGTTGAAACAAGAGCAGTTAAGTCTATTATTACACATGCTTAACATCCCCAAACTAAATGTGTCCTTGGACGATTAATGACTACTTGTCCACAGTACTACGTTATCATCGAGATTGTATTAAATGGAGGATTCGCCCCTCATTTTGTTGGAATAGAAAAAGCCTAAATGTAATATAACCTGAGAATTCATATTAGACAAAATATTTACAAAATAGGTAATAAGGAACAATATAAGGTCTTTACAAAGCATTATAACCGACCAAGACGCTAAAAAAAGACGAAAAGAGATAAAGATTACTTCAAAAAATACAGAGTAGAAATGGTGGTGAACATCAATTTACCGCCAATATCTGGGCGCGCAACCGAGCTTCTCGCTTGGCAATCAATTTTTTTCGCAAAGTCTCTTCCTCTGAGTTCAATGGAGATCGATCACGAGATTCTGGACTCGAACTTGATCTTGACCTTCGATTGATTCTTGATGGCGTGAGCTAAAGTGAGGAATAAAGTTAAAGCAATCAAAATATGAGAAATTTGGGCAAATGGAAGAAACATTTGCGACCTCGTAACCGATTAGCATGTCTGTCTTCAAATTTGGAAATCGCACATATTTGATGCGCTCACGTGCACACTCAGTGAGTAAAATAGCAACCCGCACTGGTTAAGTCTGGTTTATTGAGGGAGCAGTGACAGAATACGGCGAGGTACGGGCGATCGGAGCACATTCCGGATTCTTTTAGATAAAATGCCACAAGAACGATTATTCGTGCTTATCTGCTCCGCCTCTTGCCAATGGACATATTCACTAACCAATACCTACCAAACTGCAAAAGAAACCCAGAATCTAATAAATGTGCCCCACTAAAGAACAATTACTCTATCTTCAAAAGCAAATCATTTAATAACTACTTACACAATATTAGGTTAAATGGGGAACACTTATTCTGAAAGAGGTTTGACTAGAGATTTCTTGAACATCTCAGGGTTCTGTTATAGAGCCGGTGGTATAAATATGCCTCCCTGTGATTATCCACTATCATCTATGCATGCAAATAACTGATTTCCGAACCTTAGAGCAACGGTAAGTAAACACACTCCCGAAAATATAAACGTCAGGCGATCAATCTGCGATTAAGGCCTTTTTTAAGCCACTAAGAACACTGCTTCAGAAGAATTGGAAGTATGCTTAACTAACAACCTCGAAAGCTAATACGGAATCATCTACCAGGTAGGGGACCAGCCTGAACGTAGAGTGGGACGATGAGAAATTTAGACGTAAGATAAACTCAACAACGACCCCATACATTTTTAAACAGACGTAATTATTGTGGCAAGATGGTCGATTCCTCTCATTCGTGCTTCATTTGTTGCTTCTCAGTTAATCTAGTTTCCCTACTCTAGTAGGCATTTATGTCGTTCCATTCTATCACACCAAGTCTGTCAATAATAAGTCCGTATTTATCATTCTTCCTATAGAACTTTAAACAATGTATTCAACTCTTTAACCGTTTGGCAGTATCATTAAATATCAATTCATCCTACCGATCTTCGTGTTTACACTTTTAAAAGGAACCATCAATGCAATTACCAGACCGAAAAGACTGTACTTGTAGGCAAATTACTTACCTGAATGTGGAGAGGTGAACTTTCTTTTTCGGGAGAAAGGGATTTGAATTCAAACGGAGGTAAAGATTCATCACTGTCCTTCGACTGCTCTCTCTAGAAAAAGACATTAAATAAGCTTGATCAAGACACTACTTAAAACAAAATAAGTAGTCAGAAAACTTGCGTTGATTGCGGAAGGAGGGGAAGGCAGCGGCAACAACTTGTCCGGAGACGTTTGAATTGCTATACTGCCATGAGTCTTGATACTGTTTGCCTCCGAATAGTAATCACTTTCATTTCCTTTTGACTTCTCATGACGAATGTGATGACAATGATGATGCCGACGCTGCAGGTGGTAGTAATATTTAGTTAGAATGATAATCTAAACGCTAATTACGAAACGAGTAGTACGTTATAGGGGAAAATTACATCATTTCTTCCTCAATCTATTTTTTCTGTTAATATGCAGAAAGCACGAAGATAACACAGTAAAAGGCAGAAGAGATAACAATTCCATGAACGGAATAACTTTATATTATAAACAACACCAGCAACAATGCACATTCAGCAGACAAAGAGTAGGATAGGGCGGGGCCTTTGACCCAAAGCAAATTGAATTTCTTGTGTAGGTACCCCTGAGGGTTTTGGCATGAGCACCAACTTTCTATACATGCGCAGGCAAATAAGTTTTACTTAATTATATTCGATTTTCTTCCCGGGGCTTGTTACAAATGTTCACACACCGTAATTACTTGAGAAATTCAACCCCCCCCCCCCCAACCACTCCCTTCAGTCAGATACGTGACGACAATGGTATGAATGAATGGAACGCACCTGATCCACGAAAGAGGATTTGTATCAAAATGACTCGTACTGAGCATAAACATAATGAGATTAAGGGTCCCTGAACACTGTAAAAACAGCCCTGCATGAACTGGAGAATGGCAACAGAGACTTCAAAGCTGCTGTGACGGAAGGCAAAGTAATAAAGTAATCCGATTGTCCACGTACGGAAGAATTCCGTCAAAAAAAATAACAGAAGTCGATTTGGTAAAGCATCAGCCCTCGAAACCAAAGCATTCAAGACACAAGCAGAAATGGCAGGCTATCAAAAGTTCTGTTTTATTACATTTTTTCAAGACTTGATGATTAGTAGGGACAACAAATGCGCAAATTTTCAAGGATCGAGAAGAGCATTAGGACAGGCGACATTTGATTTTTGGACAAGCTCAATAACATGGAAAGGGAAATTCATTCTATTCAAAAAGTTGTCCTTCAACTGGGACGGTACATTTTCTAGCTCCGAATATTAAAGCTAGGAATTGAGAGTGATTAATTCAATCTACCTGTAATTAAATACATGGGTGGAACTGAAAATTAAATCATTGGCTTACTTTTATTAACTATTTATGAACTAAAACGATTAGATAGAGGGCATTTTCAGAAGCATAAGATGTGGTTTATATAGTAACTCATTAAAATATGGTACTTACACACACGCACACACACACACACACCCTGCGCACCACTAACGTAAGTGTACAAATAAATAGATATAACGAAATATTGATAAGGCAAATTGCACAAATACTTTACGAAGTACAACAACAGAAAAAGGCTGATCTTTATTTAAAAGAATTTAGAATGCAAGTAGATAGTCTAATAAGTGCATCAACACATGGGTGTTAAAAAAATTAGTAAGAAGCTCACCTTGTGATGTTTTCTTTCCCTCGACTTCTCTTTCACTTTCCTGGCATTCAGTTTAGCCATTTCGCGCTTCAGTCGCTTGTGCAGAATCCGCCTTTTCTCTTCCGCTTCTCTCATTCGTCGCTCCTCTTCAGCTCGACGTCGTTTTTCTTCACGTCTCAATCGCTTCTTAGCAGCACGTATTCTAGCCTCTTCCTCCGCCCGCTTTAGAGCAGCTTCTTCTTCAGCACGGGCTCGTTCCTCTTCAGCTAAACGCGCTGCTTCGAGCTCGGCTTCACGCCGTGCGGCTTCTACAGCGGCTAGTGCCATGGCTTCGGCTTTTTTGCGAGAAGCGGATTCGAGTAGAACTTGGGCAGCACGCCGACGACGAATGGAGGCGTCAGAGAGGTGTTTGGTGCGGTCGAAGTCAACCTGGAAGAATATGATGGGTAATAGACTTGAAAACATACTGAAAAGAAAAGCCTGCTCTTCTTGGAGGTGAACTACAGCGTATTGTCAGAAAGCTTTTTCTTTATAGATTAGAAAGGTATTTTCTGATAGTTATCTTGAATAAAGAAGTTGATGCGTACATTTCTCATTGTTTCACCGGCATATGGAAATAATAAAATGTACTCCCGCTTTAATAGCACTTCGTTATTCTCTTCAAAGAGTCATAGATGAATACTAAAGTTTCTCAAAAATCCACATTTTAATCTCCGATACAAACTGATTTATTTCCACTGAAACAATTGGAGACTCCAAATAGCAGTAAACTTGTGAACTGAAGGATTGATAATTAATGTTTAAGATAATAAAAACTGTAAATAGTGTACTCCCATAGTCGACAATGTATGCACGACCTGATATTTCATTCCACACTTTATTGATCTAGTACCTACACATTATACCTCGGATACATCTGCATCCATGAGGAAATGACGTGATTCCAGTCTCTGTGCATTTAACATGAATAATTAAACGAATAGGAAATGAGAATAAAGTTAGTCTAGAGCAGAAGAATAGCATCTCTCAAACAGATACAATCCACTACTTCTTTAACAAACTATTAGAAACTATTGAACTTTCTTGGCTAAAACATTATAGCCAGGTTTGAATACCTGCGATCAGAGTGGACACTTAAGTGTCGCAGAAGAAAATAGCTTTATATAAGGAACAAGGGGTGATAGAGTTGCTTCCACGTGGTGCACCCTGGGCAACGTATACTCATACAGCAAAAAAGTCTATTAACCGGCAGTTGACTTCTCACTTCAAACTACCATGACCCCACTGTATGTCATATTCCACCACTTTCACAGTACTCACCTCACCTTACCTTCTCTACCTTTGTGTCAGTATGTCTTTTCTACATCTACGAATCACTCTTCTGTTCCCTCTCTCTACTTTTTGTGACGTTGATGTCCCCCTGTAATTTAATATAAATAAATATAAGGAGAAAAATGGCGCTATGATAGGTGTGGGAAGTTATTCCCATTACCGAATGAGTCTCTAACTTGTGATAGCTGATAAAACGATCACAATACCTCACCCATCATGACTGACCACATGATAAGTATGAAAATCTGTTTCAGTGCTGATTTCTATACAAATAAATATTCGAATTGATGTTCAGACCCAATAATAGGTTATGAAAATAAAGGCGAGAAAAATCCAAGTGAGATAATTCTTTATCTAATTAAGTAAGCAGATAAAAATACATGGTTGATTAACGCGAGATTAATGATAAAATAACCAAGCATTTGCATAGAATTTTGGTCACTATGGCAATAAAACAATCAAACAAATGAATAGTGGGAAAGAAAAAAAACAGTGATTGAAAATTTTTCGGAATCGGTTAAAAGGTGGCTTATCAAAGTAGCAAACTCAGTTGAAATGGAAGTTCAATGGGTCAATTCAGATTAAAACATCATAAAATATGGAAATACTTTCTACCTTTTAGTTCATTAAATTAGACGGCTTCCAACAGTATCTCCACTGTTTTGCCAATGTATGTGTAGCAAGCCAAAAAAAAGTATATAGGTAGTCAACGGTCAATTCACGTTTCAATTACTATATGTATATAATACAAGTAATTTAATTAAATTCATGCGGACTAACTCATACTAACAGGGCATTAACTCCAAAGACTGGAAAAGCAAGACTAACCAATAGCTTAAAGTTGGCCAATTCCGAATGAATGGTAACTTTTACCAAATGGGAAGCAATTGAAACTACTTTCGATTAGGAAGGCATAGAATTCCAACCAAAATCGCATATATAATGCAACCTTTCGAACAAATTGGCCAAAAATGATCTCTGCGTTAATCTCAATAAACGTATGAATACTAAACCATAGAAAAGGGAGCCGTTTTAATCATTTGAAATTGTGAGTTTTGGAGTGAATGTTGAGTTTAAGTGAAATATGATTCATTAAGAATATTAATAACTCGAATATGGAACTGAATTCTTAGAAATTTTTTGAAACTATTTGGAAAAGTTGATTGCTAGCTCTAGAGATCTCCATTAGAATTGAAAAAGAGCTTCTCACATAAGTAATTAGGAAAAATAAGCCCATTAACTCACCTTTATTTCAGCGGAGTAAAAATTTGCAGATTGCGTTTTATTTGTATCACCAGGAGCGTAGATCAATTTCTTTCCTCTAAGGGCTTCCATAGCTGCAGTAAAGCCGGAATAATCCACAAACTGAATGTAAGCTGTGAAAGTCAGAGGATGAGTTGAGTCAATAGAACTCGATGACTCCTCTTCATATAGCAATTGTTTAATTGTTGAAGGAGCCATTTTGCCAAATCCGTTGTGACTGCTGCTCTGATATAAAATGGGATTATCTTCCGCAGTAACAGAAGTGTGAAAATCGGAGAGAATGTCTTTAACGTCGTCTAGAGTTAGGCCCATGTCTTCTAGAAGACGGTGATTCTGACAGGGGTCTAATATTGGGACATCAACTCGCCTAACTTTTCCAAAGGCCTATATGAACAATCAAATAGTGCTTAAATGAGAAATACTTGAAAGACTTCCAACAAGATCTTCGGATCTGGTTGAAATTTGGAGGAATTATTTGAAGAAAACCAACGAACTGGGAGCTTTGAAAGTACAATTGTATCAGGTCGTTCACCTGGAATAAGTTCGTTCATATTCTTTGAATCTCTAAAGAAGGCATCCCAATCATGTTTTCGTGGACAATCAATAGGAGCCTCACAAGTACGAACTCGAAGAGTTTGGGGAAATCCCCGCAATTTAATGCACTAATAAAACCAAAATTAAATTAAATAATTTAATTTACCTGGCTATCAGCAGCTTTGACGACTCTCTTGACATCTGCTCGAGACTTGAGTTCGACAAGAAATCTTACAAAGTCGACCGTAACACCTGTAACTTTCATGGTGACAGAAGGAGAAAGTTGAGCTGGAGAAAGCTGACGAACCTTCTCGGAAACCTCCCATGTAGACAAGGACTTGCTCTGAGTACCAAGAGAACTTAAACCAGAAATTTGAACGGTTATATGAACTTTGCATATTGGCTTTAAGTAAATATGATGCAAATCTGACAAAACTTCAATTTCACCTAGCTCATTGTGAGTAAACTTAGTCATATCTGTCATCTTTAAACCAAACTACACAAGCAGTTAATATACACTATTAAAACTTAGTAACTTGAGACAAAATTGAAAACGATCCAAAGAAGTCGCCAAACAATGAGTTCAGTTAATGAAACGATTATTCAAATGAAGACGGAATGTAGAGCAATATTTCTATCCTATTAAATGTATCTAAATATTAGAAATTTTTTATGCAATTAGATGGGAAGTTATGTAATTTTGCTTTTTACTTCATATATTTTTTATTTAGATTAAATAGCATAAATTTCTCAACCTGTTTTATAAAACAAAATATGCCATTCTTTTCAGATGTTTCTATGAAGAAACAAACAATAATTTTTTCGAAATAGCTTTCGTGAATTCATTTGTTTCAATGAGTTGTTGTGAATTCCCTTTCAAATATTTGCAGTGGAATAATCTGCAAAAGTGTAAAAGCCATGCATGAGTAAGAAAATAATGAATATCAGCAATTTTATTTAGAAGTTTAAAATCATTCATGAAAAGAATTTTTTAGTGTAAAACGAAACCGAACATTCATTTTACTTTCTGTTGCACTCTAAGGTTAGTGGATGTTTTATTTAGAAATATAATAAATTAATATTGTCCCAGACTGTTGTTTATTCCGTAGCATACATTCTTAATGTTATTTATTAATACTGGAATTGACACTATCTATAACAATGAAGCAGAATTAAATACTACCGTTCGTAAGAATGCAATAAACGCACTGAGGAAACACATTATTATGTAGAGTGCATCGGCATAAACGTATTAATCCTACTTCTCTGTTGCAAAGAAACAGAAAGCGCACAAATGAATCGATTATAAAATAATGGGGTATCGGTAAAGGAACAAGAACAGTGAATCTTAATTCTGGGTGTAAGCTTGCAGCATGCATATTACAAATCTTCATTTATATCAAATGGCAGGCGTTTTGATAGTGTCATTCACCCTTTAGTTGACTTCAGGTTTCATAAAAGACAAAGAACATAAAATTGAAAAAAATCGAGAGTGGGGTGGGGGAAACAGAAGAGTGATTCAACGATGTAAAAGAGACAGACACAAAGGTAGAAAAAAAGTGAGCTGAGTACTGTGAAAGGGATCGAATATGACATACATTGGGGTGATGGTAGTTTGAAGTCAGAAGTCAACTGCCAGTTAATGGACTTTTTGTCGTATGTGTATACGTTGCCCAGGGTGCTTCACGTAGAGGTAAGTCTATCCCACACCCCATATTACAAATATATGATGATGAGGTATTTGGATCAATGCATATTAAGGTCTTTAAACAGGCACACATTTCTTTTACACTCTTCTCGGAAGTAAGATTCCAATTGGAATATTTTCAGAACGAATTCTTAAGCAGAGATGACGAAGAAGAGCAGCATTCCTTTATAGAAAGGTCATTTCACTTCTCCTTAATCTCCTATTTAATGCAACCGTGGTGAATACATTAATTTATATCAATAAAAGCGTAGTGCCATATCAGAGGTTGAAAACCTGCTAATTAAGGTATATGATGCGTAAATCTAGAATTACAACAAAGAAATTAAACCTATCTTCATATTAGCAATATAAATTATCAAAACCAGTCACTTGAGTATCATGAAATAACGTGAATATCGAAAATAAGCAACAACTCAATTACCAGATAAATTGCAAAATTTGCAAGATTATTTCAGTTTGGTTCTAACCATGTATTTCATAGAGTAATGGTACAGTTCAGTTAAACGAATAAATTTTACGCCTTAACTTTAATAGTAATTGCAAAAAAATAAAAGAAAAAATCGATTTCTCCCGGAAAATATTCAAGAATTATCTGTCAATAGGTTATCAACTATGCAGTAATTTATATAAATATCAACTAGGAAAATTTTATGTTTATTTAAATGAAATCTGCAATAGACTTACCTCTACTTAGTGCAACCTGGGCAACGTATACTCATATTTCAAAAAAATCTATTAACTAGCAGTTGACTTTTGACTTCAAACTACAATGGTCCCACTATATGTCTTATTCCGCCACTTCATCAATACTCACCTCTCTTTCTCTACCTTTGTGTCTGTCTCTTTTACAACTTTGAAACTCTCTTCTGCTCCCCCTCTCGACTTTTTCTCACTTTGATGTTCCAAATCCTCTCTGTGAAGCCCGAAGTCAGCTAAAGGGCTAATGAATACGCCTGCCATTTGCGAAGTCAGGTAAAGAGCTAATGATAACTATCAAAACGCCTGCCATTTGATATAAATAAAAGGACTAATGATAGCTATCAAAACGCCTGCCATTTGAAATAATTAATGATAATTATCAAAACGCCTGCCATTTGATATAAATAAATGTTTATTTAAATGAGTAGCTTCAGCTTACAATAAGAGACTGAAGGTTGAACGATTATTCACGATTGTGAGCATATCTAGCCTCAAAAATCGTAATTATAAGTAATTTTCATCGCCACATCCACTCTAAATTTCCCGTTTAGATAGCCGCATTTATATTCGCAATCCTTTCACTTCCGAAGATTTCTAATTAATTTTACACCTCATAAACAACAAAATTAAAATGATGTTTATGTAAATAATAACAGGAATACCGAAAAATGTCATGGTTGCTTTTCCTAATATTATATACACAAAAGGTTGCTAAGCCATGCAATGAAAATATTTATTGCAATCTGTAATCTGAAAAATTACGATTGACACAAAGTTTTGGGCAAAATTTAAGTAGAATATAATTTATTCAGCAGGAATTTATGGTCATCAAGTTCCAAATGTGCTCTTATAACAGTATTATAAATCAGGTAAGATATTAATTCTTTAGCAAAATTTGATCAGACTGGCTTTCATTTTTTGAAGAGTACACCTATTAGCTTATGAAAAAAATTCGGACTGAAAAATTTGATCAAAATTTCTCAGCAATCTAACTTTATTGTTAATTTATCTTCGTTCAAACACAAAGCCTCATTTCTCAATTTGTACTGTTGTAATCTGTTAAAATAAAATCAAATGTGCTGATTTGAATAAAACTTAATTATTTATTATTATTTCGAGAAATTTGTAAAATACTTACAGTTTTATTACCTCACGGACTACGAGCTGCTTTTGAGCTATACTGCGATATTTGTCTCTTAGTCTCTGAGGTTATGCATCAATTTAGTTCTAGCTTCATATATTAGCGCTATTTCACGGAATGTCTCAGGATATTATTTTCAGACCAGCTTTAGTAATTAAAACATCATTCTGATTATTGATTTTATAGTATCTCGGTTCTATTCCGTTCGAAGCTGATAGCCTTTCCCGTGCAGCCTTCGCACGTAACAAATTAGAGGTTCTTCAGGTAAATTTCGGGCCTTCTAATGATGCAAAAATTTAGAACTTCTCTTTTTTCAAGCCGGTGACACTCTGTATCTCCATCGCTGGGGTAAAAGTATGCGACCCCGATTGCAAGGTACGATAAAATTGTTTAATTTATCTCAGACTGTATTCATGGCCCATGCTCTTCGGCGAATCTCTTATGCGACTTGTGATCCATTCACCTCGAAATTTGCTTTTTTGGCCCGAGAAGCAAATAGTGAAACGCCTTGTCAGTATTTCCATATCTTCTCTACTGATACACAATTTCAGGTAGGATCTTAGTACATGCTTTCTTTTAATGCTTGTCACTTGTACTGTCATAATGTAACGGGTTATTTTCATTAACATGCCTTTCTATCGATCTATCAGACTGTTTAGTATTGTCTCATCAAACCAGTTGGAGCTTCAGTTCTCATCCTGAATTATAATATATTTCATCCGTTTTTCTGATTAAGTCATATGTAAATTCTATTGCTTGATTAATAGTGTTTGTTGGTTGTTTAATATATTTATAATAATTGACTTTCGGATAAGTTTTATGAAGGTGAATTTGATCCAAACGAACTAGTTAACTTTCACTTTCCAAAGGATAATTATTATATCGTCATGTTGCGCTGTTTAAACAGAGTTTATGTGTGTGCCTTGTTTTTTCTCTGAACCTGCTTCCATTGGCGTGACTCATCAAATCACCTGTTGCGGCCTCGTTTTTATATACCTTGGCCATAAATTTTCATCCTATTGCACACCACTTCATTAAATCGACGTTAAATTTTTCGTGTCGCAGCTTCATCTTTGGAGACCGAATCACAACACGCATTCAACATAATTCTTTATTAGATGGATTTTTCAGATTTCTTATTAGTTCTTTTTTTATAACTTAGTTGTTCTTTATTAAAGCTACAGCTATTCGGATACAAGGGAAAGAAAAAGGAAGACTTGTAGCTCAAACGATCCTTTTTTAATTTCAACAAAATGAGCTTGAATTTAGTTTTGAAATAATTATTAAATGGTTGGCTGCCAATAATAGAACATTTGGTGTCTTACAAATTAGAGATATCTAAATCTTGTTCGATATTAGCTTTGTTGGCTGTATATAATATCACTCGTTGCCAGTTTCGCAAGACCGATTGCCTATATCTACCTTTAATTTCGATTTAGGAAATCAACCATTATTCTTCTAAAAGTATTAGGAGGCGCCCTTGTTCAAATTGCCTGCAAACTTTTATTTTTCTCTGCGGATGTACATCAGATACTTCAAATAATATCTAATTGTCTTATGCTTACTCAAATCAGCACTGACTCCATGATTTTTGTTTATATCCCAAGATAACTGAATTGAATCGAGCTAAGCATAATTGCTTTGATCCATGCACACTAGTTTGTTAACAGATATTCCGTTTGAGGAACAGCATTTTATTTCATGACTAATTATGCATTCTTTATCGCGTTTAGTTCTTTTCTTATTTGATTCTGAACGGGTACTGAAAATATATATATATATATATCTATATATATATATATATATATATATGTCTGCAGCTAACTCGAGGATTGCAAACTGGGTTGTCTTTTATTGTGTGTATTCTCTACCACTCTATTTTAATATATTGTATGCACAAGCCCAAGATATATTTGTTTGTTTCTTATTTGTGGCTAACTTAAGGTAGTAGATCTATCGGACCACGTACCTGCTTTGTACTTATGGATGAATCACCTCCTTTACCGTTCTAATTTGACATTTGCTATTTCTGTTGGCTGTCGCTCTGTGCATTCATCGCTGCCATTTTTCTTTTCCACTTTATATTTCTAATCCATTTATGTGGTCTATTGATTTATATCTATAACTTTCCTCCGGTAAATCTAGTCAATTCTTTGTACAGGTTTTTTCCTAATGTAATTTAAATCTACTGTTGGAAAGTTCGTTGAAATTTAACCGTAGTGAGAAAAAAATTACTTAAGTAAACGATTTAAAATCATTCGATTGTCCAACTATGGACTAGCGTCGAAAAGGTATCTGACTAACAGTAACGTAGGTGCTTTTTACTGCGCATTTAGCTTTTTCTCACTTGTTCAATATGGAGTTTTGTTTGAATTATAAATTTACTTACTGGGTTCAGAGGAATATTATGATGTTAGTCCCTTAGTGGGAATAAGCGCTCTCTCCAATTAATTTGGTTTGTGCAGTGACAAAATTTGCCATTTAGGTCGCTCAGCACAATTTCTACTAACGATCAACTAATTCCAATCTGGGTAAAAGCTTGTTAAACTTTTGAGGTCCTTCATTGTCTTGGATCTATGAAATCAGTGGCAGGTGTTGTGTTCATTCCCTCTTAAATGTTATTTTAGTCTATTTCAGTACTAGTTAAATTATCGCCTACATTTCATGTCTAAGTAATCGGTCCACAATATTGGTATTATTTTGTTAGAGGTTTGTATCTTGCGGAATTTTCCTCACACAAGAGGACATATTTCCCTTCATTAGTTTGTCATGTGATGTTAGTCAATACTCTGCCTCAACAACATGTTTCCCGCATCCGAAAATAGCACCGTTATCTTGCTTGTTCTGTTCATACAACATAAGCCTAGTCTCTTATCTTGAAAAATGACTGGTTTTCATGGAGAGTCACTTTGTTAATTTATGCATTATGATCTTCTCTGTAGAAATTCGTAGTAGACTCTTAAATTCCCAAAGAAATCGCAATAGTTACAGATACTATCCGACAACACCACGATGCAAAACGACCCAACCCGTCGCGTTAAATCAGGAAGCACGTTTTCGTATCAATAAGTCGATTTACGTTCCACTTCATTTACTATCGTAGTGTAAATGATTTCACTCAAATAAAAGTAAATTTTGATTTGCCAAAAATAAAGAATCTTACTTATAGGAATGATTTTTTAGTAAAAATAATAGTTTCTCATTTATACCAGTGTATTGATCCTAATTATCCCCGAACATACGGGATTTATCCATCCGCCTATATCTACTCACTTTCTGGGGCTCCCTTTCATTGGCACTGAGAATTGTCTCAGGTTCCTCTGGTCTTAAAAAGTAATTATTGCACATCCTCCTTGTGAAAGCACCTCTCAACTCTCATTTTGGTTTAGAGAGTGTTATCACTGAGGCTCCCTGATGAGTTGGTCCATTTCTGTTATCCCCTTTATTTACTAACTGTAACCAACGCAGTTAGTCATTCCTCTCACTAGATCCCCATTGAATCCGTGGCCTCTAATTGTGCAGAGACGGGCATGTTGACCACTGTCTTCCATTATTTTATATTTCACCTTTTTTCTGCAACTCATCATCTAAATATTTTTCTTCGAAAAACTTTCAAACTCATATTTTTTAAATATTCATTAACATAAGCAGAGATTGAAACATTTTGTTGTATTCATTATTTCTGCAACATTTTGTACACCTAATTGTCTGTGAATTATTTAAAGCACGTTCACAACTACAGTTGTATTTAAGGAGATGCAACTGTCATTGCCTTGGAATAGGGGCCATGCTTAACTCCCTTGACGACATTTCTAAAAATTTCTGCTAATTTTCATGTCGGAGTGCCTTTCGTTACTGTCGATGTTAGTAATAAATAATATCTGTTTAGTTATAATACTGGAAAATCGGATTTGTGGCTTTAGACTCTTAAATTAGGAAGGGTAATTAAATCAATCGAGATTATTGTTTGAATTTTATATAAAGTACTATATTTGCTAATCATTTTTTTGTACTTGTTAAAGCCTTCTCTTATTTTCCTTGTGTCTAAATTTGTCAAAAAGCATGTGCTGTTGGTTTAAATACTACTTTCTTTTATGGAACATTTAAAGAATTCGTAAACCAGCCGTTTAGAGTAGCATAATGTTTTCTAAATACGAAGGCCGTACGCCTTTTTTTAACATGCAAATATCACTACTCTGGTAAGACTTCCTCTGTCACCAAGTTTCATAGCTTACGAAATTGTAATTGTCTTCAAATTCATTAGCATTGACAAAGTTTGTTATTTGGCAGAACGCCTTTTCTTTAAGGTGATTAAGAAGACACTTTTATACTTTAAGAAGGAAATTCTTTGATTTTTAATCATTCCTTGCACACGGTAATAATTCCTCACAAACCGTACACTCAATAACTTGGCCCTCTTTTGAGCTCCTGAAATCTTTAATAGGAGTTGCTTTCATGTTTAATGATATTTCACACATCACTGTTTATTAATCTTTCACCCATTTTTTTTCCCTCTATAAGTACAGCCTAGTGAAAAAGTTCAGTCCACTTAGTTATGGTATTCACATAAATTTCTTGGCATTTGTAAGTGAGTAATAATCACTTCCATGTCCCTTGAGAAAAGGGTTTTTCAACACAGCATGGGGAGTGGACCTGCATTGTAAAGCCATCCCCTCCCTCCCTGTTTGGAAACTCGAATTCTGTACCTATCTTTACTACTCAAAAGGTGTGATTCATTGATTATCACAAACTTGACCTACCTTTAAATGAAACCACAATAATCGTTGCTTTTCGGATCACAGTAGATTGTCATGCATTTTCCCATATTCTATATTTGTACAAATGAAAAAAATTTGTACAATAGTTAGTGTTATTCACGGGTAGTCGTGTAAATAATAGTTTGCGATAGACTTACCTCCACGTGGTGCACCCTGGGCAGCGTATACTCAAACGGCAAAAAAGTCTACTAACTGGCAGTTGACCTCTGACTTCAAACTACCATGGCCCTACTGCTTGTCACATTCAACCCCTTCCATAGTAACCATCTTATTTTTTTCTCTACCTCTGTGTCTGCCTCTTTTACATCTGTGAATCGCTCTTCTGTTCCCCACCCCTCGACTTTCTGCTACTTTGATGAACCTTCCTTCTGTGAAGGCCCCTCGGCTTTCTGCTACTTTGATGAACCTTCCCACTGTATTTCTGCTACTTTGATGAACCTTCCTTCTGTGAAGCCCGTTTTCTGCTTCTTTGATGAACCTTCCCTCTGTGAAGCCCGATTTAGCTAAATGGCTAATGATATCTATCTCATTTGCAAATACGGCTACTTTGATGAACCTTCCCTCTGTAAAGCCCGAAGTCAGTTAAGTGGCAAATGATAGCTATCAAAACGCCTGCCATTTGAAACAAATAAACATTTGTACAATAGTTAGTGTTATTCACGGGCAGTCGTGTAAATAATAGTTTGCGGTTAACGTTTCAATATCACGCTGGCTGGCCTTCTGGTTATCTATGCGCAACTTTGTGTGTGTGCACATTACTCACTGATGCATACTGCTAAAGGTTAATTCGACCTGTTGGCGTCTGAATCCATTAGAGATTATTAGTTCCTGTCTGGTTGCTTTCCTATTCTTAGTTTTATGGGTGCAGTGTTCCCTTTAGGATGATGAAACAGATGTGTAGTCCAGAGAGAGAGAGAGAGAGAGCTTATTTTTATTTTGGCCGGTGTAGAATCTTAGAAATAGTGAATATTTGATTACCGCTTCCTTCACTTGTTGTTGATCTTTAGAAAGGTGGCCAAGCCTTCACTACAGCTCTCGAAGGTGTTTACCCTCTGTGTGGGCAACTAAGAATACTTTTTCATTAATTGCCATCATTAAGCCCACCTTTCATTGATAATCTCATTAGTCTTCACAAACTATACGTTTCCATACAAGTTCATTTCATTACTCTTAGCTCATGGTTATAAATTCGTTAAAGCGATTTATTTGTTCCCCTATTGCTATTTGAACTTGAGGTACTTTTTTAGCCACGAATCAGGGGCTCGCATATCTCATATTTGCCCCAATTTCAGCTCTAGACATCAAGATAGCCATTAATTAATTGTTCCCAATCCGTTATTAAATATATTTCATTCACAATAGTAACTACAAGCCATATAGGCTTTTACTGTATCGACCAAAAGGTTAATCTTATACTGTGGGGCGTTCCATTGCTAATCTGATGTCATTTAGTGGTTAGAAAGATGTCTTCTTGGCATTTTGATTGAAGATAAACAATTGCGAATTATTTGGCTACCCTCATATGAAAGGGTTATTCAATCTTATCTAACCTCCCTCCTCCTCTCTTGTTTTTCTGCATCTGTGTTGTGTTTATTTTCTATAATTCTCCTAATTGGTCATACACCTTCTTATAAGTCGGTTAATGGCTATTGTAAGGGTTATTTGCTTGGCTTTGGATGCCCTATTACGACCTTATACTATGATGATCGGTCATTTCTAAACCATTGACTTTGTTTTCTGTTCAATAGTGATTACAAAGTACATGGCAGACTATCCATGGGATTATTGTGCACTTACTCCACCTCCCTCCCATTTTTGTGTTTGAGAAAGTGGTATTTGAGCTCCATTGATAAAAATATTCCCTTTAGTTAATATTTCTTATCCACACATTAGTGTTTCGAAACTGTTGATTCTAATTCTTTCGACAAATTGTCCAATATATGCACTTCTCAAATAAAAGGACATGCGGAGTTATCTCAACTGGCAGGTTTCTTAATCACTTGAACAGCATTCTCGGTTTCAGAGAGTAATGCGTTGCAATCGTATTTTTATCTTACCCGATTCTTTTGGCTAAGTGTCCTTGTATTAAGAAAAATCTCTATTGGTAGACACTTCAGATGACTTGTGTTTAAATTCTATCGATTTGCAGTTCGGAGGTTGAATGTCCACATCGAAATAGGTGAACTATTGGAGGGTTGGATAATCTTTTATTGCCTTCGATGTTGAGTTGCCCTCAGGTTAAATTCCATTCACTTTTTTACCTGTTGCTAATCCATCAGTTTTGTATGCCACTACTTTTGATGGTAAATCGTAAGGAGACGGTCTGATAAAAAAGCAAATACTGTAGACATATAATGGGTGAATTGGAAACAAGGGCGACTTGTTCTGCCAAACCAGAACAAGTTTACTACATCTCACTTCCAGATTCATCAGTTTTTTTATTTAAGTAGGCCGAAATCAGACTTTGTGTTTCAGGATTCAAAAATGAGAACCCATCCTCCGGTTCCATTGATATTTCTATTCAGAGCTTTGGTAGAATGCCATTTCTGTGATAGTCCCTACGCGTGATGTTCAGAATTGATTGGTTTGTGGACTGGATCGAGAGGACAGTCTTGTCACTCTTATGATCATTGAGTACCAAGTTTTTGCTAAATTTCAATTAATGTTTGTGGAAATCGTATGCTCTTAATTACCGAAGATCTATTTGAGTCCGATCAAAATGTGCTATTGTGAGTGGCAAAGTCGTTAATATTTACATCAAATTTTCCAACATATTGTTTCTTCTCCCTTACATTTGCACAGCAACAATCTTAGTACAATAAAACCTTCTTACAATTTCTATTTTTTCCATTGAAGACGCCTGCTTTCTCTTTCTCAATCGTTTGCTTTTACCCTACTTTAGTAGTTGAATGTTAAGGACTCTTAGCACTTTTAGCGATAATTAATTCCTTTGTTCATTTCTGCTTCGTTTAACTAAATAGCTGCCAAATCACTAATATGCTTTATTAATTGTGTCAATTTAACAAGGTAGGAATTCTTGATCGTGCTTGAGTTTATCTCTCCCAATTGGGAACTCTCTAGTGGATAAATTTTGTTCAGCCAACAATGGCGCAATGCATTTCCTTTAAAATTGGTTTGTCTTTATGTACTCCCCCAATGTCTTACACATTATTTTATTTCAAAATGTCCTAAAGGAGCTTTCTTAACAAAAATATATAATTTTAGCAAATTATTTTCACAATTAATTGCACGTTCGTTGTTTGATTATTCTTTTTTTGGTCTATTTGCACTCTGAAATCTGACACGCCTAATTTTTACCGAAATGGTTCCTATCTTTTGTTTGAACCAAAGTTCCCCAACATGGTGAAAACGCGTGCTTTGCCCATAATCTGCCTTCTATATTTGATTTTATTTCATATAATCAACGCCTAATCAGTTGGAAGAAGTAGGCATGATGATGATCATTCGAATTTAGGTGGTGTTCTATAAAATATAATGATCGTTGACTTAGGAATTACTAATTTGGTTTGGTAGAACCGACTATTTTTCGAAGATGGAAGTGTTGTTGTATTATGCCAACCTTTATCTCTCTCTCTCTCCCTCTCTCACGGTAAAGAGAACGACGGTGGTAAAAAAAGCACGATTTACCTAGGGATCGCTCAGTATGCTAACACTCATGTAAACATGGCATCAGTTTCAAACACCCTTTTTCGCTCAAATTTGTTCTCTTCTCATGAGAAGTTTTTTAAGCAGCTATTAGTTATAGAGGAATGTGTGTTCATTAATTCCTCAAATCTACCTCTTTTGAGAGAGGTCTGGCTTGAATTGATATTTAGACTTGTTATAACAGATTTTGACATCTGTACTAATACGCTGGTGACCTAGTGGTCGAAGTGCACGTTTGTTCATTGAATGGTATAACTTACCTCACGGATTAGAACTGGGCATGAACGTAATTCAATATGAATGAATGCGAGTTTCTTCTCAAGGCTAGTCGTGAAATCCGGGAACATTGATTGAAAGGACTATCGTTGAGTTAAAATTCAAGTTCTATAAGTGGAAACATTATTATAGGGTGTCCTAATTGATAGTTATTTTAGGAAATCTCGAATAATATTTATATCTTATAACTTTTATCATATAGGCAGAAGAGCTGAATGCAATCATTGGTGACGCCTTTAAACTAGCGTTTGCCAAACAGCGTATGCAACAAAGCAACAACAAGAACATCAACTCATCAAATAGGCATGAACCGCTTCCACCACTGTCAAGCCTTCATTCTGTTGAACTCCAACTTCCACAAGCCCAGGAGCTTGATTCAAGCACCTTGGGAGGAAAAGAAGGACCTCCGCTCCATATTCCCCCACCCCCTTCTACTAATCCGCCACCAGAGCCAAATCAGGATTTAATACCACTTCAGAAGAAGGATGGTGATACAGGAGGTCAAAACAAAGAGGACATTTCTTGTAATGGGTACGCATAAAGGCGATTTTTAAACTCAGTGTATGCTATTTTTATTCAATCATCTGCTCAGTTTGCCTAATTAATGTTACATTATGTAATAGTCTCTTGCTTTTTACCTCCCCACAATTGCTCTTTTTGTGTGCTGGCGTGACGAGGTCTTCATCATCACTCTAACCGAACCGAATTATGCAGATTGCATTGTGTAGTCCCAAGATTTGCGGCTTTCGTTTATTTCTTCTATAATGTTTCTCCAGGCTACTCTCATCCATTTTCCACTCCTTAAAATACCACATGATCGAACAATTATTGGGTTTGAAAGAGTTTCTTCTTTAAAAGCAGTTGCCAGTTTATCTATAAACTTATATACTAGAGTCGTAAGGGAAGAATATGCATATTCAACGCTTCTCAACTTTGAGATGTAGGCATGGGAAAAGTGATGTGAATATGACAAGTAGAGTTAAAACCTTTCTGTTATTGATTTTACTTCCAAGAACATGCTTTATCGTTGATAGTTATGCAAAAGTCAGCTTTGATGTTTTTTTGATTTTAATATTCAGATTTTGGCCAATATTTCTACTATATGACGATTAGATTAGTTTTTTCTTTAAACCAATTCGACTGACCCAGATGGAGGGAGATTAAGGGGCGTAATTCGTAGAATTTGTAGTGAGGCAATCTCTCCCGTACCTTTAAAACGAAAAATCCCTTTAAGACTATGTCTTTCTTACTCAAACAATATGGGTATTTTTTCGCTTTTGTTCATTTTCTTACTCCAACACCAATTTAGAGCCAAGAGAAATATTGTCTTATTTGCACATCTGGTTTCCATAGTTATAGGATAGGATTTGGTACTAGTGGTAGTGTTTTATGATCATTGGGGTCTGAATGGAACTAGCTTAATTATTGTCTCTAACTATAATTACACTCAATAATTGTCTCCACAATTTCCAGAATTAGCGAATTCTCACAAAAATTGACTGAAATTCATGGAAACGCAGGTGTGTTGCAAGCGGATAAATATGAAAACTTGATTCACCCACAAACCCACCTAAAATCATAAATAAAATTATATAGACAAAGCAGAGGTTATTTCTACCTTCATTTTATTCGATTTACAAGAAAGTATCTTTTAATGCTCATAAAAGTATATTGCACACGTCTACAGAATGATTTTGTACTTATTAGCGTGCTCACTGTCGTCCTCTCAAACAAAAAAAGAGGCGTTTTATTTCCCACTTTGATTCCGTTTAATGATTTATGACTTCGTTTTTTTTTATTGCCAGACGGCTATGATGACGAAAATGTGTAAATTTGCACCTCCTTCTGCCCTTTGCGCTCCCGTTTTTTTCTCTTTGCTGGTGGTTGGTTGGTTGGTTGGTTGAGAGGAGAGAAAATAGAAAAGTGACCGTGCATAATGCTGGCATTTGTGTTGGCCTTTGTTGTGTGATGTTTTCTGTGAATGAGAGGTACGCACATCATGGGGTTGTTATTTTGGAAAAGTTGAACCGATGCTGAATTCTTTTTGATTGGTATTAGGAATTAAGTAGCGTATTACCAACTGTCCTTAGAGATAGAGTCATATCCTTGTTTAATTGTGATTATCATGTACTCTTGACACTGTAGAGGTAATTTTTAGGTTTATTACTTACAGGCAGTTGTCTGCATTATGAGCAACTTGTCTTAATTATGAGATATACACCACGTACAACTTGTTACCATGTAGAGAGAGTTGCTCAATAGAGAATAGGGGAAACAAAACGGAACGTACAGTGAGATTGAAGTCTTACTAATCACGTTAGTGCTGAAAACGGATTAAGTCAGTTTGAGACATCCCAGCAATAAGCTACAAGTGGAAGTTAGATAATAATGCCTTATTGAGATGTTAGTGGAGGGTTTACTGTCCAGAATTCAGACGCCTGGACCTTACGTGAGGAATCTTCTTGTCGTGTATCTAGTTATGTGAGTTGGTTTCAACTACTGTATCCACCTAAAGATTAAGTACTGAAGTTGCATTTGTTGTTGAACTTCTTTTATGGTTCGTGTTGCTTGAAAATCTTTTGTTCGTTGTTTATATAACAAGTTAAGGCTTTGTTCAACTTAGCATTTATGACTTCAACTTCTGGGTAATAAATGCCTGTTTGGGTCTTGTGAAAAACCAAGTTTCGCCATAACAATGGCTGTATAAGTACTGGGCCCATTTTCTTTATTCGGCTTTGCGCATACGTTTTTTCTGCTCAGTTTCCTCATATCTAAAATGGCTTTCTATTTTTTGGTTTTGCCAAAATTCTTCCCCTCTTAAACCTGTTTCTTTACAGCTTAAGGTAGAATTTTATTCTCGTATCTCACTTCTAATGACAACCGCACGTAGTAGTTGGTCAAGATGGCACGATGTGTTCAATATTTTCAAACTTTTCGGTTCTACGAGAGCTTTGGGCATCCTGATTCTTTCCTTCCTCCGACGTGCTTCCTCCAGAGCACAACCTGGAGGTGACCATCATCTCTCTCCCCCCTTCCTCATGCTTATTTAGTCGTTATACCAACGCTACCTGATTCATTAGCTTGATAGTTTTCAGTAGCGAAGCTTCTCCATCTGGCCTCGGAATTCTTTAAATTGCGAGTGCACCACGTTAATATTTGACTCATTCAAACAAATATGCATTATGTAATACCTCTTCTTTCCTTAAAATGTTGTGAAAAAGTAGGCAATGTCTCCGGAAGGTTTGCTGACTAAGGGCTTCCTGTCGCTTGATAGCTTAATCGTCCACAATTTACCATCAATGTGTTGTTTAGCTTTCTATTTACTCCCTCTTTTTCACATGACTCCTTTGTTTTACAGGTAAACGCAGAGCGCTGATTCGCTATTTTATCTCCTCTCGAATACTGCCCAAATCGACCTCCTTTCAATATCCAATATTTTGGTTTAAATTAATCGTCCCAATGTGTCATAACCATATGGGTATGGTAATTTAAGCTTTTGGAATTTCGGAGGAGTCTACTATAATGTTTACGTATGAGTTCAGCTGTGTGCCTCGAAGTTTGAGCTTAGGGTTTCAGTCTGGGGATTTTCTGGTTGTCAAAACTGGTTGTGGCTTGTTTAACATTCAATGCACTGCAACAATTGACCTTTTTTATTCCAACACGCCTTTATTACCGTATTTTCGCCTATTAATCTCATTGGAATTTTTTTCTCTATACACCTCTACCTCTCCTTTGCTTCTCAACTTACTATCTGCAAATAGTGATTCTCGTCGACCAGTCCATATCATTCACGCAGAGCACATGCCTACCCCTTTGTGTGTGTGCGTGTGTGTGTACACTTACACATACTGTGCCCTGCTTTCATTAATCACGGTTTGCCTCCTAATTATAAATGCCTATCAATTTTTTTTTCCTAAATGCTCCTTAGCCTTTACTTCATTCGCCCCACCTAAACGGCTTTGTTAAGCCGCCCATTGGAGAATGGATGCAAATTTTTCAAGGGAGGGCTTTGTAACAAGAAGTTAAATGTAGAAACCGAATTGTTCCAGTACGATTAGGGATGCGACCGAGATTATTTCTTCTTTAAGCTATAGCTTTCCACTGTGTATGATAGTTGTCTATAAGTGGCCACCTCAACAATACTTTCTAATTCTGAGTTCTTCATGTCTTCCATTTCACCAAAATGGCCTGGAACATAAAGAGGTGGATTTGTTGAAGACTTACACCTTCCAAATACCAAGAGATTGGAAGTTATTGCTAACTGCCTGGTATTGAAGCTTAGGCGTCCCATTTTACTCGTGAATTTGATCCAGGGGTGCCCTTTTAAACGACCATTTCTGTACTTAGCGTTTATCCTTCATCACTTTGAAAAGCTTTCTATGTCTAGTTCATTTAGTCGGTCACAAACTTGTCTTCCACGCTACCTTTTTTTGCATGTTCTGCTTTCCTATTTACAAATTGATTTATAAACTGTTCACTGTTGTATGGTTGTTCATCTTTTAGCAATTTTGTCAATCGGAGGAATTATTCGGTTTCTTCTCGTCCGCGGCGTAGTAGTCGAAGTGTTCAACACTAATAGATGCAACTCTAGATTAAATTACTGGTTCGTACCAAGCAAGAGAGGATGACTTTTCGAAAACGCTTCAAAGAATTTGAAATTTAATACTTGGCCTCTGAAGTCGAATAACTGTTTTATTTCAGTTCCTTATTATCCATTTCGTGTGTACCTCTTCTGTGTGCGCATTTTTGTGATTGTCGTCCCACTTGTACGTGCCTGATGAAGTTTTATTATGTGCGTCACTGTATGGACTGAGTCGCGAGAGAGGATGGCGCGAATGGCTGTGCATTTCTACGTGCTAGTTCTGTCTGTGGAAGATGTGAGCGTCTGCTTCTAGACGAATTTATTGCGTTTCACATTTCGTCCATTTTTTGTATTACTGACGTCAGGCTCTACGCATAATGGAAAGTCGTGTGAATTTTTTTGTAGTCGGCGCTTGCTTTGTCTCTCAAGGCTACGCTTTAATTGGGTGAAAGGAGTGTCGACGTACTAGAAGTAACTTCGGCGGGCATAAACTAACCGTTTCATTAAAAGGCTTCGTCACTAGAATCTCAGCATACAACATCAATTTTTTCGCCTTGAGTATATTTTTAAAATCTTACGTTTGAAATTATTTTCGCCATGTTCAACCTAGAGGTATGTAAATTAAACATCCATTTGTGGTTATTTTCCCACTTAGACTTTCACACGTGCGTGCCTTCTTCCCTAATTTAGAACTGAAGAATTTGCCAGTTATAGCTCCTCAGTACCCAGTTTCATTTGATCTCAGTTTAATATTTTTCGCGCGGACATGCTTAAGATTTCCTCAATGTTTCTAAATTTACTGCAACAAAATTCACCTACCCATTCATATTTTTTACTGGTTTGAGAGTATTTCATCACCATAATAAAGGATTAGCTTTTGAAATTTACTAACCGCAAGGACTTCTTTGCTACCGCTCATCAACTATGGGTTTCTTGGATCTTTCATCATTCTCTTTATT